TTATACATAACATAACAACACAATATATGAAAAATACATATATATACTGGTATTTTTTATTTTTTTGAGTGTGGGCTTAGGCCCATAGCTAGATCCACCCCTGATTGTAACTTATGGAGTTATTAAATGTTTCGTTAATTTTTTTTAGTTGAAATAAATGTTTCATTAATTTAGAAAACATTTTTTCACTTATTTCGGCTCCAAATAGATTCGTATTTTGAATTTCCACCATACATCTATAGATAATACATTTCAAAGATACAATTATGGAAAGTTTTGCCATGTGTCATCTTCTAAACAAACATTAATTATAATATTCTAAATTCTCTTTCTAATTTAGTAGTATAGGTTAATCACTTAATTGTTCTTCCGATAAAGTAATTAACTTAGAGTAGAACTGCTATTACATTAATTAATTTAGGACAAACCTATAAGGGTTTTGAATCCTACGTAATATGTACAACTACTTAAAAACTTCATAAAACTATGCAATTCAAAGAAAGAAATCTCATCTTTATTTCAAACTACTACAACTTTTTTATTTGTACTTTGATTGTTAAAAAAAATATATCAACTTTCATAACTTTTTATTATCTTTTATATGACATCAATATTGAATATATAAAAATAAAAAATAATTTAACACTTCAGAAAAACATCAGTTTTTTTAAAGTGATATATTTTTTTATTTGTATTCTGATTGTTTAATACATTTTTTTTGTAACAATTGGAGTGCAAATAAAAAAATTATATCACATTAAAATAAACATGAGATTTTATTTTCATGGGGCCCTGATGAGTAATAATTGAACGCGACAAAATTTCCACAATTTATAATTGTGTTCTCATTTGGTAACTCAGAAATTGGCTGAATCGGTTGATTATACTGAAATTTACGAAATTCTAGCTGAAGCGGCTGCATGGGCTGATTTTGTTGACTTATGAAAGACTATATTTAAGCTATATTTTTACTAATAAAATAAAGTTTTTTTTATGAAAAATAGCTAAAATAATCCTCCACAGTAACTTGAGCCAATACAACCTGAAAAAGTAACTTCAACCTTACCTTTTCTTATTATTACATAATTCAGTGCCCGAAATAAAAATTTGCGTGTTTGGTAAAAAGTAGGCTGATAAACCGAAAAATGGAGTCACCAAACAGGCTCTGTAATTTTAAAATTGTTAAAAGAACATTTTTTGTAAAACATCTGTTTTTTTAAAGTGATATATCTTTTTTATTTGTACTCTGATTGTTTTAAACAAATCTAATAACTTCCAATTCATTCCTGAAATGGAAAAAAGAGCAAAACATCATAAAATGAAAGCGGGAAAAAAATAAAATATAAAGAAATATTGCACGTATTAAAATTTGCTAAATATAAATTTGTCTTAATGATATCTCAAATGTATGTTCACCTTTCTAATGAAGAATAGTTTCAATTGGAATCAATTTTTTTTGTCTCAATTATAAAAGTAACAGTTGTTTTTATTTTAGTGTATATATTATTATAATCTTGATAGATTATTATCGAAAGTTTCAACTCTCAGAAATGTTTTACTAATTATATATATAACAATCATACCGTGACACTAAAAGTGATGTTTAAGAACTAGATAAATAAGCTAGATTGTATATAAAAGGTACGGAGTAATTTTTTACTTGGGGATGTAACTTTAATACTTCGTATAATGCTATTTGGTAAGGAAAATCAATATATTATTTTTTCGTTTCTGAATATGGGCCGGGGCGTTTGTATTTTTATTTTTCATTGCATAATTTGACATGTTTATGTTTCGATTGTGGCTACTACTTGATGTGATGAGAATCTCTTTTTAAGTTTTATTCATCTGACCTTCTAGGTAAAAATTGTCTAAAAGTCTAAGCATGCAACTTTTCTTCATTCAATATCACTTATTTTACTTAATAAGATATATATACCATCAATATAATAACTCAATCTAATGAAAAATAAATTGATCGCTGCCAATCACAATATGCGCCCTATTGTCCCCCCCCCCCCCCCCCCCATCGCCTTCATTAAAATCGGAATGTCAGAAAATATTGTATATTCTAAACTCTTTTCTTAAACAAAGAGATCAAAAGACTAAATTGAAAATTTCTAAAACCTAGAAGGACTAATATCCTGAGAAAAATTAACAAAACCATTTTTAGATAGATAAATTACAAAAATGTGTAGTAAAGATGTTTTTACTTGGACTGTAATTTGCTGGTCTGGTCTGGTAAGGTCTGGTTTCTTTGTATTTTTTATAACTATCCAAGTCTGGTCTGGTCTGGGACAAATTACAGTCCACGTAAAAACATTCTAAGTTATTAATGGAAAAAAATAGGCACTGAGCATTTGTTGTTTTGTTTTGGAAAAAATATATTAATTTCAATTGAATGCAGGTTATAAAAAACTATACTTTTTTATTGGAAAATATATACCGAAAACATTTTTTAGATAATTAGTTCAAAAATAAGGCGTACTCAATAAATTAGATAATGCATTTTAAATCAATGTTATAATCAACTAAATAAGTGATTTCCCATTAATAAAACTAAACAACAAAATCACTTTATCCCGTGCACTACATATGTATATACATTTTTTTATGTATAGCTTTTTTATTTCATCGGTTTCGTCTAAAAACGCTATGGTCGAACAGTTATTTATCAAATGACATTTTCACTTATTTAAAACGTCAAAAGGGGTCAGACCATCATTTTTTGGATGAAACGCCAATTTTCAAACACCCCATATATAATTTAATATAATAGCAAAAAGAATTAATAAATAGATCTTCAAAATTAAATAAAGTATATTACAATATAAAAAAATTAATAATTTTTTTTGGACCGGGGCACTTTTAAAATTAGACACTTTCTCTAAATTTCATCCTTTAATTAGGATGATATCAGAAAATTTTCATCATTTTGTATTATTCGAAGGAAGTTCATCCAGATTAACTTTTTGAGGAATTGAAGTAGCATATTGAAAAGTACATTTAACACAAGCATATGAGATTATTAGACCTTTATTGGGGGCCGCTGCCCCCCCCCCCTATGCTGGATGTACATCCACCCCTGGTGTGAAGAAAATATCGTCTAGAGCTGAAATATCATGTAATTCAATATAATAACTACAAGCACTAAACGGAAATGAAAGTGAAATATAACTAAACAAAAAAAAGTTAAGAACCCCCAAGTAATTTCAATGAAATTGTTTTAAGGAAAATCTAATAACTTCCTTCCTAAATGAAAAAAATAGCAAAACGTCATAAAATGAAAGTGAGAAAAAACAAAATATACAACAAGGCTGCACGTATGAGAATTTTCTAAATATAAATTTGTGTTAATGCTATCTCAAATTTATGTTCACCTTTCTAATTAAGGATTTTTCAATTGGAATCAATTTTTTTTTATCTCATTTATGAAAGTAAATGTTATTTTTACTTGCTTCAGTGTATATATTACTACCTCTATCCCAATTCGATGGTACCAATTATTATTCACATGATCAACACAAACCACTCTTAATCTCTTACTTTATATATCAATTTTTTTATCAAATTTGATTCAAGTGTTTGCGACTTTGTAAAGCTTTTAATGTAGTTTTTGAATAAGTAAATTTCTAAATATAATTTGGGTGCGGACAGAGATCCGTTTGATTTATCGTCAGTCAAACATCATAAACCGCAATGGTATCATCAAATTGGGACGGAGGGAGTAATATAATGAGTTAGATTGAGTTAATAAAATTGATGAGAATCTTTTTTATAGGTTTTATTCATCTGACCTTCTAGGTAAAAATTGTCTAAAAGTCTAAATCATTCAACCTTTCTTCGTTCAATAACACTTATTTTACTTAATAAAATCATATATAGCTTCAATATAATAACTCAATCTAATAGAAAATAAATTGTTCGCTGTCAATCACGATATGCACCCTAGCTATTGTTTCCGTCATCGCCTTCATTAAAATCGGAATGTCACAAAATATATATTCTAAACTCATTTCTTAAAGAAAGAGATCAAAAGACTAAATTGAAAATTTCTAAAACTTAGGACTAATATCTTAAGAAAAATTGATAACACCCATTTTTAGATAAATAAATTACAAAAATGTGTAGTTAGTTTACAAAAAATAGTAAGTCACCAATGAAATTTAATGGATAAAAATAGGCATTAAGCATTTTCTTTTTGTTTAAGTAAAAATATATTAATTTCAATTCGATGCAACTGTGTGTTACTAGGTTTAGACCACAAACATGTTTAGATAATTAGTTCAAAAATAAGGCATACTCAGTAAATTAGAATATGCATTTTAGACCAATGTTATAATCGATTAAATAAGTGATTTCCCGTTAGTAAAACTAAACAACAAAATTATGTTATCCCGTGCACGGCACGGGTAAAGATACTAGTTCCGTATATATGTAAAGATAAAGATAAAAACTAATTATGACTATTTTTTTTGAAATTGAAAAAAAACTATTTAATGTAGTGCTACTTAATTAGATGTTTTGACTTGGACTTATTTCAGTCTCTAAAAAGACCTTGACAATTATAAATTACAAAGGGACCAGACATATACCAAACCAGAAAATTTCAGTCCAACTAAAAACATCCAATGAATACTTTAATGTATTTGATATTCAAGAGCTCTCGATTAATATTGCCTATTTTCCTCGCAGAGTAACCACAATAGCATCATTGTTGAAAACACACTACTTTAAAGTTACTATCTCTACCCCCATTTTATGCATTTTCTCTTGGTTGGGTACAATTATCAATAAAGTGGTTGAAAAATTAAAAGTTGTGATTGAGATTTGAATATAATAAAATACGAAGTATAATAAAATGAAATGTTGTGGACTACATATTTTTTTCACATAAAAGAAATTTTATTTTGGGACAAGTAAGACAAGTAAGACAGGACTACATATTTTTTTCACATAGAGTAGATTTAACTTTATAGTCATTCAAGCTTAAACAAACAAATTTGAAGTCTTGTTGGGAATAAAAATTATTAAGAAATGTGCACCAAATATATTATTATAGCCATTAAAGTAAAAGAATTACAAGCTCAGGCTATCTTCACTCTGTAAGTGAAATAATCACACCCACCATAAGAGTAGAAGGTGTAAAGAAAAGAACAATCAGCAAAGCAAATTTGAGAGCTAAGTGCTCTTCTAAAATTTATTCCCAGGCGCAGACCTAAACCAAAGAATTGAGAAGTAGCAGATGAGAGCTTACCTTGCATAGACGTCTTTCGTTCTTTTAAAGAAAAATTGGATTTTTACAGAATGGGTCAACCTTACAACAACAAGAACATCAACACAGCCACGAAGGCTCTCACCTACGGTGGGGTAAGAAGGGGTCAGATGTATGCAGACTAACCCCTGTACTAAATTACAAAGAGACTGTTTTTGGATGACCCATGATGAAAATCGCGTCGAAAATTGCATTGATAGACAAGTGCTTCACAATTAAGAAGCGCAAATAGTTGGATGAGCCATTTTGCTTTATTCCATTATATAGTGAGTCTTTGGCTCCATTGGAAATGAAGGAAAGAAGTGGGCCAACCTTAATTCACCAAAAAATATTGCATAAGGCTTACTTGCGCCTCAAGGCGTATGCCTGAAGACCTAAGCAGCATCAGCCTTACCATTCCCTATATTGGGCATCACCTCAAGGTGCATAGGCATTGGCGCATTGCTCAGTTACGAACTCTCGTTCCAAGTGCAGATTCTATAGTCTTCTTTGATCCTACAGAAAGCAGTAGCTTTAAGGGTATGTTTGGCTCATGGAATATGATAGAAAAAGGACAAAAAGGAGCTAAGGGAAATTAATGTCTTGTGTTTGATATCACCTCAGAAAATGCAAAAGGATAATGAAATATGAGTAATGGTTTTAAGATATTGACATACGTTTAGATTTCTTAGTTTTTAAGGAGTAGAAATAAATAAAAGAGTTCGAAAAAATATCTTCAGTAAATATATTTCCCTTATACCTTTCTCCCTATTTTCTTTACCAATCATTTTTGGAGTTCCAAACGAACCCTGATGGAACAGAGCACATGTTTTTCTAAAACATCAGTAGACAGTACAATACCTAAAGGTGGTACAAATATGATTAGCCATCATGATTATCAGACAGCTTCCTCGACCATATCTCTATTTTTTCATCAATACTCCTGGCACCGTACATATACATCAAAATGCTGCTGGATGTATTTCCCAGGCAGCACCGTCTATCACAACAAAGTCAATTCATCTTCCTGAGTGAATGGTAAGGAGAAGGAAAAGGAGATCAACAAAAAATGCAAACAAGATGGCATATATTTACCTCCCTTTTTATTGAGCACTAGATGTCCTAAAATAAAGTCTGCACCATTTCTATATATCTAGGACAGTAAAAAAACGAAAAAACAGGATTTGGGCTTACAATGCAAATGAGAGCAAGTGTCCTCTTCTCTTACACCATTTCAATGGCATGTTCTTATAATGCTCATGGTATCATTGTTAACCACTGCTGAAAAACAACCTGACATTAAAAGGTGTTAGAGTTGAATTGTATGTACATAATGATGAATTGATGATGATGACAGTGATGACATTTATAAAGGATTTTTCTGATTATTTTACTAAGATAGAATGTATGTACATAAATATGACTAAATGTTCACTGCTACAATATAAAATAGAAAACCACTTGTATTCAAAACAAAAATACCATTGTGCTCCGTGTGCATCAAAAGTTATATTTTGTCCATTACTTTTAGTTTAGACATATTTTGTCATTATACCATATAATAATAATACATTGACATTAACAAAAATACCCCAGTCTCCTTGGAAGGAGAAAATATTTGCATCAAAGCTAGTACAAGTTCACACAGACCTTCTTTATGTTTTCATTCCAGCAATATCTTACATCCTTTAGCTTTTAACTTCTTTTCCAAACCAAAAAACTTTAAACCACATAACACTAAATCGGCCGTCTTCTTCTTCATTTGCTCAATAAGTAACTCATCATAAACCAGAACCTCCGCTTCACTAAGAAGTTTGCGCCCCCTCATTACTGAAAAAACTTCCCTTGCTTCTTCAATTGTACCGTGCAAGCACATCCCACAAATAACAGCACAGTATGTTATTTCATTAGGATGGCAACCTTGTTCAATCATTTCATCTATAACTTCAACCAGTTTGCCAGCATCATTAGATTTGCTTATGTGGATGATCGTAAGTGTATACTTGAATTCCATTGGCCCATTTGTGACATTCGCCAAACAGTCACGTATAAGCATCATAGCATCATTAATCTCTCCGATCTTGCAAAGTTTCTTTACTAGTGAGTCATAAGCCATAGTGGAAGGAATCAAGGGAATTTCTCTTAGCCGGTTATACCACTTGCACGCCTCCTCTAGGTCATCAATCTCAACAAAGCATTGAATTGCGATGCTACAGCTTGTTGAATCATCAATTGGAAACTCTTTATAATCTTTTAATTCTTGGAAAAGTTCTAGAGCTTTATCCGCCTTCCCAACATCATGTAGTGCCTCCATTAGAACATTATAGCATTGTACACTGCAATGATACTTGGGATTTACCTCTTTAAAAATTTCCCAAGCTGGCATTACCTTGTCAGAACTTTTAACCATAATGGAAAAGAATTTAGATAGATCATCTTTGATGCAAAAACCCAGTTTCTGCATTTGATCAAGCAAACTGGTGAAGTCATTCATTCTTTTAGTTTCTGCATAAGACAGCAAAATAGGGTTGATGGTGGAAAAGTCAGGTTGGAGATCTTCTTGAATTGTGACTCTGAAAAGTTTATAAGCCCTATCAACATGTTTAAGGTTGCATAGACCTTCAATGAGACAGTTATATATAGCTAAATCGGCCCTATAACCAGAATTTATCAAATCTTTGAGTAAATCACAAGCGCAACCGACCTTCTCGGTTTTAACAAATGCTTCTATCAGAGATCCATATATAGCCCTATCAATCAAATGTCTCTTCTTCTTCATCTCCTTAAACAACGCATACCCTTTCTCCACCTGATTTCCTTTGCACAATCCTGTGATGAAAGTTCCATAAGCCATAACATCTGGCTCGACCCTGTCCTTCATCATTTCCTTCCAAACCCTAGAACAACCATCCAGATTTCCCTCAGAAATAAGAACCTTTACCATTGCTGTGTAGGCAAAAACATCTGGTTTGCATACATTTTTCCTCATTTTATTCAAAAGCTCAATTGCTTCATCAACTCGGCCAGACTTACATAAACCCTTTATCAGTATCATAAAGGTCACACTCTCCTCCACTAGTCCATTCTGCTTGAAGTCATCATAAACAGACAATCCTAAATCGAGGTGGTCTGTTTTAATCAAGGCTTCCATTATCCTATTATACAGGAATACTCTTGGTTTGATGTCGAATTTCCTCATTTTCTCATACACATGGTACACTCGAAGACCCCTATTTGCATCAGAGTGCATTCTAATTAAAATTTCAAATTGTTTCTCTGTAGGTGTCCTCCCCTGCATATGCATTAACTCGGGTACCGTATCTGCATCCCGAAATTGATTTGTTCGATTCAAAGAATAAGCAAAGGCATTATAGCAAGCAAAGTCATGCCTGTAACCTTTTTGCTTTCCTGGGAAAGAATACTCACAAATAAATGAAGAAAATGAACAACTGTTACCGAAGGATTGTGAATTAGTATTAATGTATTTAATGAAAAAAAGGAGAATGACAAAGAAAGAATCTTTTTTACCAGCCCAGTGGAAGAACTTGGATGAAAGCTTCGGATCGATATGGGGGATCCTAAGAACCTCGGTGACGAGTTTGGGAGTGACCCGCCGGAGGCGATTGAGATCTTCGATAACCTGTGTACCCCACCGTCCGTGCTTTTTGAAGGAGTCGACGATATACCTAGCAATGGGGGAGAGATTCTTTGCCAAGGAGAAGAACTCCCGAGATGGGTCTCTAGCGGGTCGGGAATTTAAGTCCGGATCCCAATTCTGAAGCTCAAATTCGAGTGGATCATATGGAGCCTGCCGGGTCTTGGTGGCGGGATTAACGGTTTGGCGGTTGGAGAATAGGCCACCATGGACGGTAGGGCGGTTCTGGGTGGGTTTCCGGTGGCCGTAAAAAAAGTAAGGTTTGATGTGTTTCACGGCAGCATCTGCGGAGGGCTGAGGCGGCATTTTTAAAAATATCCGGAACCAATTTCACTCCGGCAACACCAGTGGTTGTCTATGTAGACTCGAGCATCTGTGTCACTCTTATACCTTTGTGAATATTCTTTTTTGTTTATGAATCCGAGAGACGATATTTTGTTTGTGCAAAATATGTCTGTGAGTCGGGCTTCACAGACAAAAAAAACTTTCACAAATGTGGGTGGGTACAAAAATGGATATAAAAGTAAGTATAAAAGTGGGTACAAACATCATTTTCGTTACTAATTACCCTCTTACTAAATGAAAAGATAATTCTGGTAAAAAAAATTGAAAAGATAATTGCACAAATACCACTAACACATAAATTTTTCACAAACAAGATTAAGTATTAACTTTCTACCCTTAATAATCCTAATATAATTAATTATACCATTATTCCCCCCCTCAAGCAGAGGGTGCAGAGCATACTGTTGGTGGCGGGTAGTACGGCAACGGCAACCGCCGGCGAATCTCTAGGCACGAAACTGAGAAAAACTAATCTGAAAATTTCGATCGAATTTTGGCGGCAGTCACTAACGGGACAGCTAAGCGATTGTCGACGGAGGTGGCCGGCGGCCGACAATGGTGGATGGGCTGGGCAGTCCAAAAGGCTTCAAGAGTATATTTATCCAAATATACATGATTATGATCATGAGAAAATAATTTAAATATCCCAAACTTTTGAGGCATGTGAGGTAAGCATCCTAATTCCCAAACTTGCATAGCTAATAAAAGTACCCTGAACTTTATATAAAAGTTATCTTAGCATCATGATCATGTGTTTTCTTTAACAAATATAAATTTATAGTGTTAAATAATTATTTTAAATATTCTAAGCATTTTTAGAGTGCAATTAACATTATAAACTTAATTGTGAATGTTATTTATTTAAAATATTGAAGCTTAGATACTAATTTCATCCTTATAAATGACCAAAGTATTTTAAATTTTGTATTGTAACACTAAAAATTTACATTTGTTACAGAAAAAATATACTATGATAGTGCTATGATAAATTTTGTATAAACTTTGGGGTATTCAAGTTTATGGTGTTTACCTCACACCCCTTAAAAGTTTGGGATATTTAAATTACTTTCCCGTTGTTATAATTTAATAATTTTTTTGACAATTTATTTTAATTTAATATGGAGTATTAAAAAAGGTTATATGTAGAGAAAAATGAAAAAAGGAAATATAAATTAAATGTAGACAATGTGAACGACAATATCTATATATGGATTTTATACAACAATCGAAAAGCAAAACTAGTGAAAAGAGAGTTTTTTTTAAATGGTGAGAACAGAGTTAAAATTTAAAAATAAAAGTTAAAACAAATATGGCAATATTTAGATTCTATAAATAAAATTTGTGAGATTAAAATTGAGACTCACGTGTAAGATTGTGTAAGATATTAGACATCCTGATTTTGATATCTCCAATGAGAAATAAGTTATTAGATAAAAGATGCAAATGTTTACGCAGATTAACAAGTTAACAACTAACAAATAATTCCAATTTTTATGTTATAAACATTTAATTAATTTATAACATGTACGTATGTAAGTTATGATTTAAGTTTAATACCTAAATAACCAGTTCGTATACCGTGGGAGCAGCCCACCTTGAGCATGCTGCTCCCGCAGCAAAAAACCCGTGTTACTGTTCACGCGGGTGAACAGTAACTTTTTTTTTTTTGTTTTTTCATTCTCCAGTAGCAAAATGATGTAACTCGCGTGTAAAAAAATGTAACTCATGCTGATGGGAAATGTAACTCCAGGCAAATGGAAATGTAACTTGTCTAATACGAATTATAAGATATAAAATATTGAATTCAATGTAAATAGTGTAAAAAAGAGTCTAATTGCCCAATTATATTACATAGATTGTGTATACGTTTTGTTTCTAATTATCAAGACTATAAAAATGATTTTTATAAAATTAATTTTTCTTTGAATAGCAAGGGCTTATTGAGTTACGTGACTCGCATTTTATTGTGGTGTAACTCGGATTATGAAAAATGTAAATCACATGTAAACAAGATGTAACTTGCTGAAGAAAGTTGACATGTAACTCACACCAATAGATATGTAATTCGCGTACATGAATGATGTAAATCGTGCATAACAAGATGTAACTCGCTCACAAAAAGATGTAACTGTATATATTTTTGAATGTAACTTAATTGAGCCAATCAAAATATAAATTGTCCAAACTGTATAAGATATATATGTATATATATATGTATGGATAAAGATAAAGTAGATTCCTAATTAACTTCTACATTCTTCATGCTTTTGCCAGCAATGTAACCAGCCGTTGTTTCTCGATGATGCGCAAGGTTTAAATGTTAATGGAAAAGTTAATCCTGCGATGGCGACACACCTCCTGTAGTGAACGAACCCCCGTTTAGTCGAACCAGAAATGATGCGAAGCAATAAGACGGCGTAGCACACGATCTTCTTTTGGCAATTTTGAAATACCTAAGTCGGCGGCACCAGATTTTAATATAGATAAAACTATGTCGTTTTGGGATCGGCACACCACGTGCATGGTGGGCCGATCCCACGGTATAATTTGCGTAAATAACTAAGTTATATGTTAATATAAGATATAATGAAAGTATGTTACAAAAAATTTATATGCTTATACTCCGTAATATAAGCGATGTCAAATTTTACATTAAAACTTTCTTATATAAACATTTACTACGTATTACTTTTTAATTATACATTATAAATTATCACAAAAAAATACATTATAAATGAATTATATGCTAATATAAGTTATAATGGCAATTTGTTTTGCAAAAACGTTTTACAAGATTGTACAACATTTCTTATTTTCAAACCATCATTTAAGGGATCCGACTTTGATAACTAACATCCTCAAAGGTGCCGTTCACCCTAATCTTAAGAGGTGCTGCCGATGGCTCCTTATTGTACCATAATCTCAAAAGGCAATCGTTGCTGCTTCGCAACCGGAGAGCTCAGCGTTGGCTCTGCCCTTCACAATTCTGGCAATTTCGTGTTAACGCTCTGAGCGGTGTAGAAGTGATCTTCTCACTAGCTTTCATCTAGGGTTTGTCTTTCCGGCATACGTCGTTTCTTGTCCGGTGAATGATTTGGAGCGACGGTGGAAAGACAATCGTTACCACGCTCTGCCTCTCCATGATTTGTTTCTATATGATTGATGTTTCTGGATGTGTTGTTATGGATTGGATCTGGAGATTTGTGATTGATACCTTCGATTGGAAAAACGTCTGACGAATTCTGGATCGAGTTCTTAGCAAGGGAGAAGACTGATCGGCGGCCCGCCTCCTCTTGAATGACTGCCCTGTAGCGACCGAGGTGCTAGGATTTGGAAGACGATAATTCAAGAATACTATCACGAAGAAGCTTGGAGTATTTATCAGTTATTTTATTTTTTATGGTCTTACTTTCTTTTGTTTATATTGCTCAATTTTTTGTTGATGTCTTTAGTTTTAGGTCTACAATAAAGATTGGCAATTCTGCTAGATATTATGTCGTTAGAAGAATCTATATGACCTGTGATTGTTGTGTTACATCCGTTTGGTGGTTAACGATTCATATTGCTCTTTCAGGGATGATCGTTTCTAAGTCTAGTCATAGGATTGATTAGGGATGGACTGGGACGGGTAGCCCGACCCGGACCCAGCCCGATCCCGGCCCACTACTGTGCGGGACCGGACCGGCCCTGGAAACCGGTTCCAGTACCGGGCTTAAGCCCGACCCGAGGGGATAACCGGGGGCGGCTCCGGGTCATGGAAAAAGGTGAACCGGCCGGCCACTTCGGGCTTTTTTTGGGTTTGGGCTGAGTTTAGGTGGGCTGGGCTGGGATGAGTGTTTCCAAGAGGTTTGGGGGGTGGGGGATGGGGGTTGAAATAAATAAGAAAACACACACACAAAATTAAACCGGAATCGGCCCGGCCCAGAACTGGTAGACTCCCAGGCCGGTTTTTGGGCCTTACCCAAAACCATCCAAGCCCGGTCAGTCCTAGGTCCGAACCGGAACCGGACCGGGCCCGGTCCACCCCTAATCCCGACACTTTTTAGTCCCGACCTGGTGGCTATAAGAGCGGGCTTCGGGCTCATTTTTTAGGCCCGACCAGGCTCGTGCCGATCCTGAGCCCGATTGTACTATTTTTTTTAATTATTGCTCAGGATCGTCCTGACCTGCTACTGTTTAGGCCCGGACCAGTCCCGATACAAACCCGAGCCAATACCGGACCTGAAATTTTTAGTCCTGCTTCCGCTCAGTCCAAGTCCATCCCTAGGATTGATAGTGTTAATTGGTTACACATAATTAATGCTAGTGTTGGTCTCTTTGAGTTTGTGTCAACATTCTGAATCTTAATGATATAAATATAAGATGTATTTTCCTTCATAATAAACTCATCACTTAATCTCTTTTACTAAAAACATCATATAAGTACACTTGATTTAAAAATTGATCAATTTAGCGATTTTGACTTGTAATAGCAGGTTTTTATATTTAAAACACTAAAAAAGACGGGGGAGGGGGGATTGGAATAAAATTCAGATTGTCAAACTCAATATTTTTGAAAATTTGAAATTATTTTTATATTCGACATCTATTTGACTATTTAAAAGGTTTTTATAGTGTATATTTTCTATTTTTACATTTTCACTTTATAGTTTTAGTTTTTTATTTCTTTTAAAAAATTTATCCATGTTTACATTTATGCTATTTTTCATATTATTATTAGATTGTTTTTCAAATTCATTTAAAACTCTACCCATAGGTCCATAACCCAATTGCGGAAATGTCACGAGTTTTCTATGTAGGCAAGTATGTTGCTAGACTATTTTTTTACCTGGTTCAAGCACCATTGTTTATATTCCAAACCAGAAACAATTCCCGTTTGGCTGTTTCGGTTCCAATCCCAAATTCCCGATTGAATCATTTTTCAAAAAGCTAGATAACTGACTGGCAGATCATACCCGTGGTTTCTTGACCCTGGTTTAGTGGTGGACCCGGTTCGGGCCAC